CCCCTTTTTATTAAGCTAATGTGAATTCCTCTCATTCACATCCAGCGAAGTCCGGCAATAGCAGGGAATTTACAACCACAGGCTTTATCAGGCTTGGAGAGCTGCCAGGCCGCTATGTTCCAAACACAATGCTGTGCAAGAAAATACTTGTCAAGGAGTCTTTGAAAGTCATTAACAAATCTTCATACTAATTAAGTGAACTAATTGTCTCCTGCAAACTCCACTCCCCTTTTGCTACTCTTTATTCTCTATGGGGGGGGGGATTCACCATCCACGTGTCCCTTTACACCTGAGCCGGCCCTTGTTCCTTAATTGTTCCCTTCTATTGGCAGCTCTGTGCATGCGCACATCTGGAACAGGCTACAGCTGTTCTTCTGCCCCACTGATCTCTGACTCTGAAGGCAGCTGATAACTGTTAGATGGCCCTGGCCCCATAACTGCCTCTGATGCAGAGCACTCATCAGAGCCTTCCCAGATTCCTGGAGTGGCCCATGTTCCTCCACAACCTCTTCATTGTCTGAGTCTGCCACCAGCTCCACTGGCTGCTGGCGGGCCACAACAGCCAATAACAACACACCGTGTGAATGTAGAGAGACACAGAACCTAGCCTATCTGCAATCTACAACAAGAAATATGTACCAACAATGAATTATTTTTGGCCAACAACAAGGGCATGAAGGTGGCTTCATTTTGGCAGTCCAAAGTTTGATCTAGACGAAGAAGATCACTACTTTTGAAACAATAATCTCTCTTTGAATTGACCATCCTAGAACTTAAGAAATAACCCATTCATAGGATCATAAATTATCCAGAGGTATCGTGAGCTTTCATGCTATTTCACCATTGTTTAAATGGTGACAGTAATTGTCATTATGTGCCAGCAAAACTCAATACAAAAATGCAGACCTGTGCAATTTCCTCTGTCTTCCTGAGCTTCTCTTCCCAGGTTACTGTCATCTCCTGGATAAGTTTTTCAGACTCTTCCAAACGATCTTTTAATTCTGGAGATTTCATAGCCTAAAAGATTAAGGGGGAAGGGGGAGTGGAGGTGTGAAAGAAAAAAGCAAATTATGGAATTCTCCTTAGAAGGGCCATCAAATTAAGGTTTCATGCATTCTTCATGATCTTATCATTGTGATCTATGAGACTGAAAAGTAGCCACCATGAATAATACATGCAGGAAACCTCTGTTCTTATTGAGTGTAATACTGGGAGAGGATACCTGCATATGGGTGGAAAAAAGTCTGACCTTCCAACTCAGCATTTTACTACAATGCTGATAAGAGGAAATCCTAGTGTAACAATTGTGTATTATTATTAAATTTATTACAGTTACTGACCAGTATTTTGTGCAATTATTATAAGAGATTACATGGCTTAAATTAAAAGCACAGATATTTTCTAAAACCAATCAAAATAAATGAAATATTTCAATTACAATGCTATAAATGCAGGTTATAAAATACTAAGGATTCTAAGTATTAAAATTAATGGGATTACAAAACTGTTTTGTGAATAAAAAACTTAAAATGCTTACTTTACACTAAATATTAAACAGCTAAAAGTATCGGGCATGTAGGTATGTGTATGTAGATGCACAGGTATGTGCATATATATAAATCCTGCATGTATAAGCAAGCATGTATGTGCAAGTATAAATGTACATAAATTTTGTTAGGATTGGTGACTGTCAAATATAACATAAAACTAAAAAGCATAAAACATGAAAAAGGGAAAAAGTATATTAGTAGAATCCTAAAAATTAAAGGAATAGTTTCCCCGTGTAAAGTGATGGCAGCTGAAATAAGGTGCAAGAAGACTTACCTCTGCTTTGCTAAGCTGTTCCCTGAGTTTTCCTACTTCCTCCCTCAGTTCTCGGATGATCCGGGCATTGGGATCTTCATTGACCACAGCATGGTTCACAATGTTCTTGGCTCGGTCTGCATACCTCAAGGTAGAAAGTATCTCATCATAATTATCTGCTGCTGGACTGACGGTAGCAACCATCGCAGTCTTACTGTTGCCACCAAGGCTGTCCTGGGAATGTGGAATCAGAGAATAGGAATTTGAGGAGTTTTGATTGCTTGATTTTAAGAATTTATAAGGACACCCAACTCCAAGATCAACAAGGAGAAATCTATCCATGAAAAAGGACTGATTATACTTGGAGCAAAGCCATACCATCTACCTCTAATCCCTCTGACAAGAAAATATCTACTGGTGATATTTCTGGGAGATGGAAGGTACTGTAACCCATACAAAACGCAGACAATAAATGATGTGACCCACAGTGGCGCAGTGGTTAGAATGCAGTACTGTAGGCTATTTCTGCTGACAGATGGCTGTCTGCAATTTGGCAGTTCAAATCTCACCAGGATCAAGGTTAACTCAGCCTTCCATCCTTCTGAGGTGGGTAAAATGAGGATCCAGATTGTTGGGGGTGATATACTGACTCTGTAAACCACTTAGAGAGG